GACCTTGAAGTGCACCCGACGATCAACAGGTAGCCAGCGCAGCTCACGGAGGATTGGTTTTTTGGTTCTGCGCATGCACAGAGCGATTTTTGTTGTACTGCGTACGCACACATCAAGCGCACGTGCATGCGTGGCACATCCCTGAGTGAACCGGCAGTCGCGGCTGCCAAAACCCACCACCGAATTAAACCCAAGTCAGCTGCAGGATCTAATCTAGTGTTGTGGCCCTGAGCAGAGCTGGCGGCAGACTCGGACAGTGAAGAGTTTGGAGAGGAACATGGGCCAGTCCTGGAGTCTGGGGAAGGTTCTGATAGTGCTCTGCGTCGGAGGCAGAGATGGGGCCAGGGCCGTCCTACACTTATAAGCTACCTTCGGCGTCGGAGATAAGTGGGGCTGAAGAACAGCTGGAGTCTGTTCCCAATGTGCACATGCACAGAGCTGTTAGGAGAAGGGAACAATTAAGGAGCAGAGGTCGACTCGGGAGTCAAGGCATAAGAGGATGCTGAATGACCCCGCCTATAGGGAATAAATAGGAGCAAAAGGGAGTGGTGTTTGCAGGAGACAATTAGTGAAGATTTGCTTATCTGAGAGACTCCTTGCCAAGTATTTCCTTGTATAGTGTTGCACCTAGAAACTATCAGCCTGGCAACTATCCAAGGACTGATGAGGTCTGTGTTTTCAATTCACCCTTGAAAGACTGTTTGCTGGGACTTTGCTGGATGTGAATGCTAGGAATTCACATTAGCCAAATAAAAAGGGTGTGTTTTTTTCAGGACAAGGAGTCTGTTTCGTGATTTGGTGAAGCCTAGTTCAGAACATTTAGGAGACAAAGTAGCTTGGTGTCTCCAGCATGCGCTGGTAATAATGTTCATTATATTTCCACTGTACCAGTTCCTCAAATAAATATATTCTGAAAGCAGCATAATCCCTAACCATGCAACTCCGATGATGGAAGACTCCAATTAAATATTTGCCAGGGGAAGTTATATCAATACAGATCTGAACTGATATGGAGATGTGGATGAAGGTTTCATTTCCTTGTCATGTTTTTTTGAGATAGGCCAGATCAGGAAATGAGAATTTCTAGGAGTTTTACAATGTACTTTAATATAGTTAGGGTACTTTAGCAAAATCTTGAAAGCCTATCACAGGCTATTTTGATCTGGACTTATACCTAATGCAATCATGGTAGAATTTCTTCAAGTTTCTTACATTTATGCTTTCTAAAGATTCAAATATATTTAGTGAGTTGTTCCTGGATGCATGGTACCAAAGAGCTAATAGGCGTCAGGAACAGTTGCGCAGTTACAGGAGGTGACTGCACTCAGCTGGTGGTCATTAGGCTCCTCTCCAAACTATAAACAGACTACTTGTGCACACGCCCCGTTTGTAGAAGGCAAAACAAGATCGAACGTCGGAAAACATTGTTAGAAGCTTGGCAGGCTGGATTGCTGCCAAGCCTTATCTGTGTTTATTGTCTGCCCAAGCTTGTCTGTGCCGGTTTGCTGCCAAGGACCTGTNATGACCACCGAGCCCCGCCTACCCAGCTGTTCATTAGGGCAGAGAACTGGTTGGTAAATTATTTAAATCCCACCATTGGTTGGAAGCACCATTGCCCGGTTGGGAACCCCTTTCATGTCCCCATGAATTTGCCCACCAACGTGGTACCTATTTAACTACTCATATTTGTATGCTTTCAGACTAGAGGTGGTATTCTGACCAGTTCTGGAGAACCGGTAGCGGAAATTTTGAGTAGTTCAGAGAACTGGTTAATACCACCTCTGACTGGCCCCGCCCTCATCTGTTCTCTGCCTCCTGAGTCCCAGTTGATCGGGAGGAAATGGGGATTTTGCAGTAACCTTCCCCTGGAGTGGGGTGGGAACGGAGATTTTGCAGTATCCTTCCCCTGCCACATCACCAAGCCACGCCACTCCCATGAAGCCACTCCCACAGAACCGGTGGTAAAAAAATTTGAATCCCACCACTGTTTTGGACTGCAAGGTGAACAGGATTTGCAGTGAACGACAGGAAACATCTAAAACTGGCAAAAAAAAAAACCCATCACAAGTTGTAGTCCTGTGACTGCAGCATTCTGCAAATGTTCATAAAACTCAGATGATTGCCTCGTGTGCAAAATGTGTTCATGTGATACCAGAAGCCACTATAAAGTTTTAAAACAAGGTTTAAATTTCTGGAGAGGTGTGTCGTAACTTTAAAGGGTCATTAAGTGATAGGTCATAAGTTGGGGTCAACCTGTAATGAAATGGTTTTTAATAGAGCGACATGATGGTGGCCATAGCAATACAATGCAAGCTCCTTTGTATATGGTTCAATTGCATGGTTATGGAAGCCGCCTTGAGTATTTTGAATCTGTCTTCCTTCCAGACATGCCTGATGAGAGGCCAAACCATTGTTTGTTTGTTTTTGTTACATATTTTAACTTATTTTATAAACAAAGCGTTGTCCGGTTTTTCCCCTCGTTACATTTTCCTTTATGCATATTTCATTTTACATTATATTTTCATTTTCCGTTTCAGTCATTCTATTTTCATTCCACATTCTTCCGCTTAATTTTAATTTCTTCTTAATATATAAGCAACATCATTATTTGCCTCTCTAAATTAATCAAATTTAACCTATCATTTCCATCTATTCTCTTTTACTCTTAATAACATATATCCTCAAATTTAATTTTAAGTAATAAACATTTCATTTTATTAATTTTTCACAAGCAATACTATTAATCTAATTCCTTCCCATCATTTTGAATATATATCGATGGCTATATTTACCAAAGTTCTATTCTATTAGGAAATCCTTTTCTTTCTTTCCCAAACCATTGTTAATCTATGCACACCCACACGCACTCCAGATTTATTTATGTTTTTAGTGGCTAATGGATCTGTTTGTCTTTTTTAGACAAATAGACAAAAACTTATTTTTACCTGCCATCTAGCAGTTATTTGTATTTGTATATATATTACATGCTTGCCCCCTTATTTCGGCCTCCTCCTACTCTGCCGCTGATAAAACCCAGTTTGTGTGTCTGAAGGCTATCAATCACTCTGTCTAACTGTGTAAGTGGTCCAGGGTTGACCCTCAATATCAGCCTTCCTCTCCCTCCCTCTCTTTTCCTAACTTACTTGCTCAAACAGTTCTTACAACTTGACATTTTGCAGTGATTTTCAATAGCTTCAGCTGAATTAATCATTCTCTCTCTCTATTCCCCCCCACCCCTCAGGTCTATACTCAAGGTTTTATTTTTTTAAAAAATACAATTTTATTACAGGTCCATAAAAATGTCGTTGCAACCCGTGGTCTTAAAAGTCTTATTAACTTTTTACAGTGGAGTCTTGAATATAGCATCCTACCCTTTAAATCTTCTTCTCCCCCTGTCATGCAGTTTGGGCCCCTCTGAAGGCGGGCTTCAGTTTACTATCAGTTGTAAAACTTTGCTGCCTTATGTGGCAATTGTTGAACAAGGGCACTGGCAAAAAATAACCTCGAGTGTATTTGCTACTGGAGAAAAGTGTATTTCTGTGTTCTCTTTTATTCATTGTGTAAAGGATTTCTCGCCATCTGGACCACCTATGAGGAAATGTTTTTTTAAAGCGGTAAGATTAAGGAGCAGGGATTTACACCTCGGCCCCAAAGGTAATTACCAGATGGCAAAGAGCTTGTTTTCACTTAATGACTCAGAGCAACTGACTCACAAACAGAGACACTGTTAGTTCTTATACTATCCGAGCAACCTTTGCATTTTTAAAAAGCAAGTCTGTTCCTCATCTAGAACAAGTCATCTTTCCTTGATTAAGCCAATGCTGATCGCGAAATGTTTTAATAACACTGATCTCGGGACAAGGCAAGCAATGTCTTGATGATGGGTGAGTTTCCTTTCTTGGGGATGTATAATTTTTACACTCTTGGACGTTGCAAAATAAAGACCCAGTTGAACAGTTTAGCGATTCAGGCTGTTGTTGCTTGATGAATTGTAAATTTCCGGAGAAATGCCATGAAATGGCAAGTCTTAAAGTGGTATTGGGAGAAAATACAAAATTTTGAATTATAGTACGTGTAGTCAACAGGGGCGCGGTGGCTCAGTGGCTAAGATGCTGAGATTGTTGATCAAAAGGTCGGCAGTTTGGCGGTTCGAATCCCTAGCGCCATATAA